GTACACGTAAATACATAAAAATGCATACAAATATACATTGTTTAATAAATTTAAGAATATACAATTACAAAGCTTATCCTAATATTTTACTACATATTTCTGACTAGATATAATAATTATAAATAATTATTAATTTTCCTTTTAAAAAGAGCACATTAAAATTCTAACAAGTTAGAATTGATGGGTGCTGCAGAATTGATGTAGAATTAACTGAGTAATATTTTTGTCATTTGATTTAAATAAAATTTCTAAATAAAATAAGATGAAAAAGGGGGTAAAGGTGCGTCATTATGACAATTTTCTTCACTTTCTGGCATGAAAGTGATATTGTTTGACATGACAACATTAATATCATTTGGGTCGTTAGACATAACATTAGCGTAATTATTTTGTATTTGTGCAGGATCTGAATTACTATTGCTCTGCATGTGTTCGTATTGCTTCAGATTGTCTAATTGCGACTCTTGCTGAACATAATTAGTGTCTAATTGCGGACTAACGGTGTAATCAGTTAGAAGTGAAAATGGCTCTGAATGAAAACTTTGCTGTTGTTGACAATTATAGGATGCACTTGATAAGAGGTATAAGTTTTGCGGTTGTGTTGCGGTTGCACTAGAATAATTTTGTTGCTTGGATTGTTGCTGATCGTTGCTGATTGTTGCTGATGGTTGCCGATTGCTGCTGATTGCTGCTGATTGCTGCTGATTGTTGCTGATTGTTGCTGATTGTTGCTGATTGTTGCTGATTCCATGGCTTGGTGTTGCAGATAAATTGTGCTGATAACTGTACTGCAATATATCCTGCGATATGTTGCTAGGATATGCACAGGACGGATTGGCTTGCACGTTGAAATTATTCAAAATCAACGATGATTTCGGGCTATTTGTAATTATATTGAAAGTATCATTGCAGACAGATGTACTACTTGAACAGCCTGTGAGCTCAGTTTGGTCACTGGGCATAAACGATATGACGTCGCATTTGTTGTCTTTTTTGTGTTTCATCCGCCGATTTTGAAACCACACTTTAATTTGTTTTTCTGTCAGATTGAGTGACGCCGATATTTGAATGCGTCGCGCCCTGCAAAGATACCGTCCATTTTGGAATTCTCTTTCCAAATGCAATAATTGGGTGCTGGTATAAGCCGTTCTGGTACGTTTCACCTTGGTTGGTTTTTTCTCGTTTGCTGAAATTAAAAGTTTATAATGTAAACAGAACAGTTTATGAAGGATTTGGTATTTTGCACTTCTAATGGAAATAAAGATCATAGTTGATAATTTTTTCTTAATTGCAATTTGAGAAATATAAGTAATTGTCTCACATTATATATGTGTGTGCAAGCTGTTGTGTTCTATATACACGAATTATTTGTTTATAATATTTAAAATATACATAATTTAGAAATAGCTTTCTTAGATTTTTATTGGTTTCCTTAAGTATTTATATCATTAGGAATCATTAGGAACAGCCCATTAGCAGTTAGGCTTTCTGCTTTTCAGCGGCGTTAGTGATTCATAGGTAGCGATAAGCAATAAATTATGGTCTACGGCGACTCTAAAATTTCTGAAATATGACGTCACAAGGAAAACTCTGCGTCGTTTGACAAAAGGAGCCGGGCTATGCTATTATTTTGCCGGATTGTGTTTAAGGAAAATAACGTCACTGAGAAAAAAGAAATATTTTTGACCCAAATAAAATTATAGCTATTTTTGACTCCGACTATATTTTTTGTTTATAAGAATATTAGTAGCAACATGTATATAAGGTTATTATTACTAACATTATGACAGACTTTAATAAAAAAGTAGTTTTCTTGACTATAATTTGTAAGTAATTATTTCTCTACATGATTATAGCTACAAATATCAAG